GTGCTTCCTGGGCCCGGTGTTAACGATGTGATAGGCCTAACCATGCTAATTCTCTGCATTATATTTACAATGCTATCCAATCTTGGAAAATAATAGAGAAAGAAGAACATATAACAGCTTTGGGTGCTGCAGCATTGGTTTGGCATAACCACTACGAGAGATGTAATTATACAATGAGATGTTGTGGTTATGGTATCGTGAGTGCTTCTTTAAAGAAGTACCATAGCCACTACAACTGGCTGCGCCCTGGTGCCTCCTCTCCCTTTTTGTAAGTAGTTAAACCATTTTTAAATGGTTTGAAGTCATATCTGGGTCCACCAGGTGCCGCTCCACGTCTTTACTACCATCGCTGGACATCCCTAAGCAAAAACTTCCTTTAGTTCTCCTCAGCTAAACCCTGCAATGCATAGCAGCAAAGTAGACTTATTCTCAATTTTAATGAAAAAGAAAAGCATGCAAGCGCTTTACATAGCATTAACACAACCAATCCTGTGAGAGCATTGTCGGTGTCAGGTTAGCCAATTGTTAAATCTTCCTTGTTGTTTGCTGCTCCCGTGTAGTCAAGCATCCTATTATATAGCTCTTCTTATTTCATATATATATCAATCTATCTTCAAACCGATAGCACTCCAAGGTCTTTATCCAAAAAATAAAACTTTGGTATAAAGGATAAGCATAATCATTAATATCCCATACACCAAAATTACTATAACTCCCCCCGCCATAGTGTGTGTTGCTCCGAGGACACCCAGGCCGGAATGCACGCAGGATGCGGCCATAACCTGCACCCGTCATCACCCTTGTGACCGTGCTGTGACATCACCCTGATCTAGTTTTTCTAAAAAGTTTATAAAAATCACAATGAGTGATCATTCCAAAGAATATAATTTATTATCACATCAGCACCTCAAATGCTGATGGTATTCATTGCTCAGGAGAACTCACAGAACCGTCAGATAGACTTATTAATCGATTGGTCCCTTTCTGTTGATCCCACTCTCTGGGTTCTATTGATAATACTGAATATGTTATAACATTCATAAATGCAAGGCGACTCCATTTCAGCATCCACAATGTTTTATTGATCTCTTAATGGAAAAATATCATATGGATAACCTTTATTCTTAAAAATGGAAATATACATTTTCAATATTAGTAATACCACACTCTCTATTATTCCTGATTACTTGTGTAAAGTGCTCGTGTTTACATTATATCTATTCTCCTCAGAGCTATGACCATTGGCACAACTACTATGCTATACTATACCTATTTACATATTTACAGTGAGTACACATTGAACACATTACACATTAGGCAGATTTGTCACCCATGAACCATTTCATGTACATCAAACCAATTCATGTAGCCAAGGTTCAATAAACCTCAGATAACTTAAGAACTGACAAGGTAACTATTACAATTCCAGACTCCAATCCCCAAGGGTAGGCTCTGGATTTATATAAGTACCTATGCCTTAATTAAATCTGTTTTAGTCCAACACATAATGTATGGTGTACCTGTGATCAGTCCGAGCCAGAGGCCTTTCCCCCAGGGTGGGCTTGGTTACATAGATCACATTCACCCATAACTCATGAAAACATAGAGAGGGTACATTTTTCATTCAACCCTTTAGGGTATGTAGTGTCCAATATCCCTTTGTAATATCAACTTTTTACGATCTCCACCTCTTCTAAGGGGAGGTATATGATCTATTGCCATAAACTGCAGCATGGGTAAAGAGTGATTCAAATGCAAAAAATGTTTCGCCACTGGCAAATCTGACTGCTTGTCTCGGTATGCAACCCTGATGCTGGACCTGTGGTTCCTGATGCCTTCTCTCAATTGTAGATCGATTTTGCCAATATAGGCTAAGCCACATGGGCACTTTAGCTTATATATTACATGGTTTGTGGTGCATGTTATATGTTGTCTTATATCATATTTTTTTTACCAGTATGTGAATGTGTAAATGTCTTGCCTGGTACCATGTTCCCACATGTTACACATTCTAAGCATCTGAAGCATCCGTGTTTAATTGGTACTTGTGTTTTATTATAACAATGGAATGGATCAGTTTTGACTAGCATATCACGGAGACCTTTATTCTTCCTATAGCACATCATAAGCATTACTCAAAATTCATCTGGGTAAAGATGTATCATGAGCCATAATTCTCTAATTATCATTCACAATTATTTTAAATTGTGAAGAAGGTGTTGTGTATGTTGTGGGAAACGTGATTTGTCTCTGTTTTTTATCCACTTCAATTGATCCATCTCTTAAATGGCACTTTCGTAGTGCTGTTAAAGTTGTTTCTTTATACCCTCGTTGTCGTAATTTTTCCTGCATTTCTTTGATTTGTTCCTGGACATTGTCTTCATTTGAGTTTTTTCTATACGCCCTTAAAAATTGTGAATACGGTAGGGGTGCTTTTAATTAGCTAGGATGGAAGCTATTGGCGTGTAAAAGTGTGTTCCTATCGGTTGGCTTTGAAAAGAGGGTGTATGCCAGTCTCTGACCTTCACGATATACTTGGACATCCATAAAGTCTACCGAATTTTGGTCAACTGTCATGGTCAACATTTGGAAGTGGTTGTAATGATAGTTAGTACCATCTCGTTGGCTGTTGTTGTATCACCTCTGATGATCATAAAAATATCATCTATGAACCTTGTATACATCAAAATTATATTATTGAATGGTTCAATGATATGCTGAGACTCAAATGTGTACATGTATCCTTTGGCATACATGGGCGCCATAGATGCCCCCATGGATGTTCCAGAGATCTGATGGTACCACTTCTCCTTGAATCTGAAGTAATTCTGTGACAGTACCATTTCCAATAACTCTAATGTGTATTCAATGGGTGGCCCTACATAGTATGGAGAATTCGAAAGTATACACCTGATCGCATCAATTTCTGCCTCATGCGGTATGACTGTATACAGACTCTTGACATCACATGTCAAGAGTACAGTAGATTCAGTCGGAAGTTCAACTTTTTTTTATTGATTTTTTATTGATTCCAAAGAGGACAATATGTTCAATATGTACTCACTGTAAATATGTAAATAGTTAAGGTAGTATAGTATTTGTGCCAATGGTCATAGCTCTAAGGAGAATAGATATAATGTAAACACAAGCAGTTTCTTCATGTAATCAGGAATAATAGAGATTATGGTATTACTAATATGGAAACTGTATATTTCCATTTTTAAGAATAGAGGTTACCCATATGATATTTTGCCATTGAGAGATCAATAATATATTGTGGATGCTGAAATGGAGTCGCCTTGCATTTATGAATGTTATAACATATTCAGTATTATCAATAGAACCCAGAGAGTGGGATCAACAGAAAGGGACCAATCGATTAATAAGTCTATCTGACGGTTCTGTGAGTTCTCCTGAGCAATGTATACCATCAGCATTTGAGGTGCTGATGTGATTATGAATGATATTCTTTGGAATGATCACTCATTGTGGTTTTTATAAACTTTTTAGAAACGATAGATCCGGGTGGCATCACGGCACAGGCGCGTGCCTAATGACGCGCGCAGGTTATGGCCGTATCCCGCGTGCCTTCCGGCCTGGGCGTCCTCGAAGCAACACACACTATGGTGGGGGGAGTTATAGTAATTTTGGTGTATGGGATATTAATGATTGTTGTACTGGTATCATGTTTATCCTGATGAAAGTTTGAAATGTCAAACTGAACTGTTGATTTTTTAGGTAGGCAATAAAAGCTAAGATTTATTTTCTGGATAAACACATTGGAGTGCTATCTGTTTGAGGATCTTCTACATTATTGCTGACAAGCACTGGGCAAGTTAAAGTGGAATACAAGGAGTGCAAGATTGTTTGAATTATATATATAGATGCCAAAATACCAGAGTATTGCAGTATGCAATGATTCCTTTTTTTTTTGGACTAACATAATATTTAAAAGTCAAGCTTTCGAGAGTTCCCTCTCCTTCTCAGGTCTGAAGCAATACAAAAAAAAACCATGCAGTTTAAATATAGAGTTTCTCATAATGTTAGTTGAATTTTCGGTACACAGTGATATTTTCTGAAATGATTTTTTTCAATATTTAGAATTTTGTATTTCTTATTAATATTGATGATTTATATTTTATTTATGGTTTCTATTTTATTTTCAGTGTTAATTTGGGGATATCGCTTTATATATTTTCATATTTCTTAAGCTTACATATTTATTTTGTTACTTTTGTTTTGTTATTTAAGATTTGTTTCTGATTGCTTATTTAGATTTCAGTTTAATTTTAATATTTTCTTTTTACTTTTATTCATAGATATATATAAAGTTAATAAAACTAGAATAAAGCTAATAACGTTTTATATGGATAATGGCACAACCTTTGACAAAAAGGGTTAGTTCTCCAGTTTAAACCATTATAAAAGGAATAAGCTGGATTCTTTCAGTTCCTTAGAAATATAATATTGTTTACATGAATATCTAATTATTGATAAAGTTGGCATTGTTATGGGCAAATGCAAATATTACAAGTTTTAGAATGCAAAATCAAAATTGTATTTCTTAAACGGTGTACTACTCTGTAAGAGTTATTGCAAACTGACAAGGTGTTAGAATGGAACATATTGTTTTTTATACAATGTTTTTTTTTTGCTTAACAGGCTAAACTTTATTTGGCCAAACTGAATGGTCCTTTTGAGAGAAACCAATACAGTACATGCAGACTGCTAACATCAGAAGCTAGATATTTGAGAATGCAATATTTCAGGTCAAATAGGAATGTTTCATGTTGCACCGCACATAGCAGGTGACCAAGGTGAACTTTTATTGTATGACATCCCAAGACAGAAAAGTTATATAAACTTTTTATATAAAGTTATTCGTTTCTGTATAGTAGTTGGTCACACAATACTTTTCCAGCAGTCTTACAGATGGATAGTAAATTGAACAGGAAATATAGAATTTTAACATTTACTGCCGTTAATCTGAACAATGTATGTCAGGCCACGAAACCAAGAGCTTTCACATACAGCAATGTTACTGAGCACGTCCGATTACACCACATGCCAAGCGGCCACTGGCGTTGCCAGTCATCATTCCCACCTTTGCCCAGGTCATCTTCCTTCTCGTGGACCACAACAGTACGTCCAATAATGTGCTCGCCACAAAGAGAAATCACACTATCCGTAAACTCAAATTTTGCTTCACCATTCGCAGAAGTTATATTGCCAAGATCACCAATGTGCCTCACTTCATCTTCAGGGCCCCCATGAGTTTCATTTCCTGGGTTGAAGTGTGGGCCAGCACTAATACAGCCATTGGTGTTATCACCATAAGCGTGTATATGGAAGCCATGTTTTCCATCAGTCAATCCTGTAATAGTCCCCGTAACTGTAACTGGTCCATGACCCTCTTGGTGGAATTGCACCACGTCTTGCACCTCTCCGGTCCCCTTCATTACACACACCGCCAAGACTGCACTGAGCTCGACTTCCAGTGACTGCGCCCTATACAATATTTCTTTAATAAATGACCTCTTGCCCATATTTAGTGAATAAGATGTTCAGACTTTAGGAAGCCATCTTGTCCCAAATTAGTGGAAAATCCCCAAAGATGTGTGCGCTTACGTTTTAGTTATGGCCTTGTATCTTTGCCAAGTTAAGGGAGGTCCTAAAATGAACATCTAAGATATAAATATGTACCTTTTTAATGTTAACGGGCAGAGGAGAGATTTGGAAACAGACGCTGCTCCATCTTATAATGACAGAGAGGCTGACATGATGATATTTGCAAACATTTAGTTTAATCTTATAAACTCTGCTATAATGGATTTTATATGTCTATATTTATATTTTTATATAATAAATATCTAAAAAGACAAAACTTTATTGCTTCCAAGACAATCCTTATTTTATATTGTATTCTCAATTATTTATATATGTTAAATAGAGGATCTCTTACTAACTATATAAAATTATGGCTAAGATATATGTATGGTGTAACAGAATTTATCTTAAATCCAAGGCTCAAGCTTATAGGTGTCATATAATGATATCCTATATTAAAATTGACTAACTTGGACTCAGGAAATGCTTGATGCTTAAACAACACTTAAGACCATATATGTCTAGTTCCGGGAGCAGAGAGCCCCCACCTAAGATGTCTCTTCTCTAATCATTTTGTTCTCTCTTACCTTTAAACTGATTTGTTGTATGTACATGACGCGCATCTCTATGTCTTATCTGTACTCTCTTCCTATTACTTTTCTAAGAGTATTTGCACGTAAGCACTTACTTTTTAATGTATAAAACCCAGCTGATGAATAAAACGTCAGAGGCTTATTTTGAATACCAACAGGTGTCTGGTGTCTAATTCTCGCTTCTCCAAGTGCACTTGTAACAACTATTTGGGCTTCCTCTGAATATAACAAACATCTAAGTTCTATGCTTTAAGACATTACAGTATAGTGGTAAATAAGGGAACCAACTGCGGTTACATCATGAATTGGATTAATCAGAAGATTGTTGAACCAAAGCCATTTTAGATAATCTACTAATGCAGAGGGTATTAAATACCCATTATTTCTGGAGAGCGTGCCAGTAACACATATTGCACGAGTGAACATTTGTACCCAAAATTGGTCCAATATTTAAATAAACTGGAGAAGAAGTAAAGTAAGGTACATGAAAGTTCTGAATTCCTGTCAGGACAAATTATTACACATGAAACAGATATTAATTTACCCGGAGATATGTTCAGGTGGAAACCAAATTGACACTTTTATTACGTGCTGCTCGGAGAAAGTAATCAGATCAGACAGTTTTGATTCAAAGATTATTTCCCTATTTTATTGTGTAAGCTTACAGATTATATACTACTTTGTTAAGACAGCTTTGTGACTTGCGCACCAAAAACCTGGGTGAAGTCACACTGTACCATAAAAGAAAATTACAGAACTAAGCATATTTCAATGGTTATTGGTAATGGTAATGGTAATGGTAACATTAGGACATCAGAGGGGGAGTTGAGGGTAATGAATGTCACAAGTCATGATTTTATGCTTACTTGTGCTTATTTGTCAGACACTCGAAACTAGACTAAAAGTTAAAAAGCATAACATGAAAGTAAAAAACAGACTGGACATCCAGTCATCTTAGTAGCTTGAACCTGGGGTCATCATTATAATTCCATTACACACATAATAGCTCCAAACTGTCTGAAAAGGCAGATTGATTAGATAAACCAGTGGATGTAAACATCCTCAAAACAATACATTTGTCTATTGAGTAATATCTAATTCTGCATTAGCCATATAAAGACTAGGGTTAGGGACATTTTATGAAAACTGGATCCAAAGCTGACACAAACGTCAACTTCAAAGCCAGGCCCAGCTGTCAGAGGCTAAAAGACTGTTTTAGAAAGAATACCATATAACAATGTATCCAACTCTTGTTTAATTCCAGGAGTAATATTGTAAAGCACTACAGAATCTGTTGGCGCTATATAAACGGCAATAAAAATAATAATAACGTTGGTACACCAAAGGTAAATTCTATTTATTTGTAAATATCAAACAATTCAGAGGGATCAGGGATTCATCATCATTCTTAATAAACTTCAATATTGACACCAACACAGACAAAACAAATTAGAATTAATCAAGAACTAGAATATGGGAGAAATACATTCACTGACTCTAATAGGCCTAGTCAAATGTTTTCTGCATTTTTTGCAGTTTTGTCTTCAGGGATTACTTTACAGGCAAAGAACCGTCCATGACTTTCCAATGATATAGTAGATTATAATTACAGATATCTGGTAGATTAGAAGTATTGACATTTTTAATAGACAATTTTCCAACAAGTTGGGATCCTGTTCAGAGAGAATACATGGAACAATGCTGAAAAAACACTAGGTATAACAACTTTTACTCAAAAATACTCTTAAAAGTTCTAAAATATCACTAAATATCTATTAGGATTTAGTGATATCTTAAAATTCTTAGAGTACTTACGAAAAATAAAGTTATACCTAGTGCTAAGCATTGTTCGTGGTCTTGTCCACTGAAGGTTCAAACTCCTCTTCCCAAGCACTAGTATTTATTTATAATTTTTTCCTTTTATGTTTTTAAATTGAATAACTTTTTCAGTTGGAGACTAGATCTGCAGATGCAGGGCAAAATTATGCATGGTCAAAAGAGCACAAGGAAAGAACTTCAGATCTTCAAGTATTGTCTTTGTTGAAATGATTGATTTCCTTTTGCAAAACAAATCAGGTTTCCACCATAATTTTCGCAAACTGTCTCAGAAGATCATAGCTATGGCAGGGACTTATATCCGTACAATTGGGGCTCATACCACATAGGAAGCCATGCCAACTATTGTAAATTAATAGACACACTCATAGCTGCTGATTGCTCTTTCGAATACACTTTTAAAAATTAGCTAGTAAAAATCCAGAAATGGCCTATAAGGTTCTTACACAATGGTACTTGACACCGCAACGCCTGCAGAGGATACTGATGGTCTTTGCTGGAGGTACCTGAGGGAAGTGGGATCCTTCTCATACATATGGTGGGAATGCCTTATCATAGTACTGTTCTGGGAAAAAATAGCCTCCATAGTTGCCCTGTTCACGGATAACACGCCACCCTTCCGGCCGGCCCCCTATCTTCTACACCACACAACATCCCCCACAACCCGATACAAACGCTCTCTGACCATTCGCAAAGCATATAATGGAAAAAGGACACAGCCCCACCGCTGACCCTTTGGTGTACCAAAATGGAGGAGTTAACGGGTTATGGAAGAGCTGTGGTACTCAGCCCAAGACTGAACACAGACGCACATGGACATATGGGCACCATGGCTGGCACATGCGGTCACAGAGGAGTTCCGGACCAGAAATCTGGGGGAGGGGTGAGGGGGGGAAATGGGGAGGGCAGCTTGACGCAACTGCGACTGGATGGACCTGAGGATCCTCAGTAGGAGACACCGGGAGGTGAGTGAGCTGATCCGCACCTGCTTTAATACCACATTCACCCCTTGCCCTACCTCTCATTCCCACTTCATTTCCTTCTCTTCCATCCTTTCCTTCTCTTCCATCCTCTTCTTTGAGGGGCCTGTTCCCTGGGGCTTAGGGTGTGACCCAGGGAGTGACCACACCGAGGCGCACTCATCTGCCTAACACGTAAAACGCACGCCCAACTGGGAGCTGAGCTGCTGGGGTCACACCATTTTACCTTACATGGTGCAGTTGCTTACCATACCTGTCATTGAAATACGGTTGCATGCACTTAAAATATATGTACTGGGACTTGCGTGTCCCTTCTTGAGATTTTAAGGGACCTGCAAGTCCTAAGCTTTATTCCCTAACTAAAAATAAAAGTCAACAACTTTAAGTGAAAGGGAATTTACAAAATGTAGATAGTGTGACTGAGACCCGTAAGTTTAGTTTGTTACAGTGTTTATTTTATACTGTTAGACAGTTGGATATCCTACATTCTACCTCTATTAGCAATGTATGTAACACAATAGTGAGACTAACTGAGTTATGTATTATCCCATTACAATGTGATGCAAGGTCCAAGTGTTTGCAATGTAAGGGACCTGCGTGTCCCACTGTGATGTCGATTGTCTGGAGACATGTGAGTCCCACAAATGCATATCAGATACACATTTTATTTTTAAAAAAAAAAAAGAAATTTACAAAAAAAATAAAAATAATAATAATTACTCAAATTAAGAATTACAAGAGTTACAGTATCCAAGAGTTGTATCTGTTTTTTTTACACAAGTATGCACAAGTACATACATATAAAATATATATAAGTACATACAAGTACATACAACAATATACATATAAATGTAACCATATGCACAAATATATGTACATGCACACCTATACATACATCCATGCACAAGCACCAATACATGTACCTACACATACACAGACCCATATATATATATTTGTGCAAATAGCGGTATATGGAGTAAGGTGTTAAGCGTAGGATAGTATAAGAGAACAAGTCGGTTGTGGTGTGCCGAGACCGACGTTACGGTAGGCATGTAAATAAAGAGGGCCCACCAAGGAGTAAGAAAAGTAAAGAAATAGAAAGAAAAAGAAAAGTGTTGCGAATGAGGAGTGGCTGGGAGGGTCACTCAGAAGCTGACCTCGAGCGGTATGGAGTCAGGTAAGGGGTGTACATTATATAGGTAAGTGAATTAACTTAAGCCGCTCCCACAATTACAGGCCAAACGGCCATAATACATATATATATATATATATATATATATATATATTCCAGGACATACTTGAAAACAAGAGAAATCTCAATGTATATTCCTGGTAAAATATTTTATAAATAAAAAAATATATGTATATGTACACATACACCTTTTCATATATACACACAAATATATATTTATATGCAAACTCATACACACATATGCATAAACACATATACATACAT